AGCGTCGGCCTGCGGTACAGAGAGACCCGGGTTCGGTTCCCGCTAAGGGCACGTACCTCGGTTGCAGTGTGTCCCCGGCCCTGGTTGGTCGTGCGGGTGGCAGCCACTTGATGTGTCCCTTCACATTGATGTTTCTCTCTGTCTCTCTTCCTCTCTCTCCCTCTTGCTCTATCTGTACCAAAAATGGAAAAATGTCCTCGGGTGAGGATAAAAAAAAACACAGTAAATGGGAGGCCAGGAAATCGCCCGTTTTGAGACCTTCCTTAGCTGATTCCTGGAAACTTCCTGGTGAGGTTTGATCACACTCGGGAAGCCTTTGCTTTCTCTGTTCCCTCTGGTGGCTACGGCCTTTCTGGTTATTTCTTTTTATTGTTGAATTGTAGGAGTTCTTTTATTTTCCGGATACTAGAACCTTAGATGTATGATTTGCAAATATTTTCTCCCATTCCGTGGGCTTTCTTTTCATTTTCTTGATAATGTTCTTTTTCCATTTTTAAAACTTTTTATGAAAGCAAGTTTATTATATTTACAGTGAAATTCAGCTTTTTTTAATTCCCACCCCTCCACTCCCCTTCCTCTTTGACCATCATCAGCTTGTTCCCTATATCGGCGGGTCTGTTTCTGTTTTGTCTGTTCATTGGTTTTGTGTTTTAGATTCCACGTATGAGTGAAATCGTGTGGTATTTGTCTTTGACGTATTTCACTTAGCATAATACTCTCTAGGCAAAATGTCATTCTTTTTATGTATCTGAATAATATTTCATTGTGTATATATGTATATCCACGTCTTCTTTATCCATTCATCTGTTGATGGACATCTAGATTGCTTTCATATCTTGGCTGCAATGAACATAGGGGTGCATATATCTTTTTGAATAGATATTTTGGGTTTGTTTTTTTTTATAAATACCCAAAAGTGGAATTGCTGGGTCATACGGCAGCTCTGTTTTTAAGTTTTTGAGGAATATCCATATTATTTTCCACAGTGACTGCACCAATTTATAAACCCACCAACAGTGTGTGAGGGTTCCCTCTCCACATCCTTGCCAGTACTTATTTGATAGCCATTCTGAGCCGTGTGAAGTGTTATCTTGTGATTTTAATGTGTATTTCCCTGATGATTAGTGATGTTGAGCATCTTTTCATTTGTTTGTTGGCCATCTGTATGTCCTCTTGGGAGAAATGTCTATTCAAGTACACTTTCCACTTTTTAAGTTGGATTGGATTTTTTTTATGTTAACTTACATGAATCCTTTATATATTTTAGATATTAACCCCTTATCTGGTGTATCATCAACAAATATCTTCTTCCATTCAGTAGGTCTTTTTGTTTTGTTGATGGTTTCCTTCACTGTGCAAAATCTTTTTAGTTTGATGAAGTCCCATTTGTTTATTTTTTCATTTGTCTCCCTTGCTTAATGAGACATTGAAAAAAAGTGTTGCTAAGAGTGATGTCAAAGAGTTTACTGCCTATGTTTTCTTCTAGGAGTTTCTTGGCTTCAGGTCTTACCATGTAAGTCCTTAATTCATTTTGTGTTTATTTTTTTTATATGGTATAACAAAGTGTTCTAGGTTCATGTTTTTATTTGTGTTTTTTTGCATGTATCTGTCCAATTTTCCCAAAGTTGCCTATTGAAGAGACTGTCTTTTTCCCATTGACTATCCTTGCCTCCTTTGTCATAGCTTAATTGTCCATGTCAGCCTGGATTTATTTCTAGGTTCTCTATTCTATTCCATTGATCTGTATATCTGTTTTTATGCCAGTACCTTGCTGTTTTGATCATTTTAGCTTTATAGTATAATTTGATAACAGGGAGCATCCTACCTCCCACTTTGTTCTCAAACTTTCTGTGACTATTTGGGGTCTTTTTTGATTTCATATGAATTTTAGCATTAGTTATTCTAATTCTGAGAAGAACACCATTGGTATTTTAATAGGGATTGCATTGACTCTATATAGGTATTGCTTTGGGTAGAAAGGATACTTTAACAGTATTAATCCTTTCAGTCCATGAGCAGGTATAGCCTTCCATTTATTTGTGTCTTCTTTTAGTGAAGATTTGGAAGTGGTAAACTTTTAGTCTTTGTATGTCCAAGCATGTATTTATTTTGCCTTTAAAATTGAATGATGGGCCCTAGCCAGTTTGGCTTAATGTTTAGAGCATTGGCCTGTGGACTGAATAGTCAAGGGCACATACCTGGGTTGCAGGTTTGATCCCTGGCCCTCATCAGTGTTGTGCACGAGGAGCCAATCAATGTGTCTTTCTCACATCGATGTTTCTCTCTCTTTCTCTCTCTCCCACCCTCCCTCTCTATTCTATCTAAAAATCAATGGGAAAATATTCTAGGGTGAGGATTAACAACAACAACAAAAATTGAATGGTGGTTTAGCTAGGTATAAAAATTGAAGTGTATAGTTACTTGCCCTCGGCATTTTGAAGGTATAACTCCTTGATTCTGTTATTGCTGAGATGCCTGCTATCTAATTGTCATTTCTTTGTAATATTCTACCATGTTGTCTTAAGTTTTTTATCTCTGATGCTCCACAATTTTACTATGATATGGAAAATTCTCGGCTATTATTTCTTTAAATTAGTCTTACTACTATTTATACCAATCCCCTGTTACAGTTTCTCTTGAGCACCCATTGATACTTCTTAATCTGTCCTTTGGGTTCTTTGAACTGCTTGTTCATATCACTGGGTCTCTGTCATCTTCTGGTTCAGTTCCTCAGTTCTGCCTTTTATTCACTAATACCACATGAGCTCTTTGATTAATGCCAAGTCTAGAATTTTTGCCACTTAGGGTTGTTTTTGTTTTAAATTTTAATGGTAATTTCTTTTATGTCCACCATTTCTAAATTTTCATTTTCAACTATATCTATTCAATGTATGCCTGTTTTGCTTCATAACATGTTATTTGTTCGGTTTTTTTTGTTGTTGTTGTTGTTGTTTTATCCTCACCTGAGGATATTTTTCCATTTTTTACTCAGATAGAGCGGGAAGGAGAGAGAGGAAGAGAGAGAAACATCGATGTGAAAGGGACACATCGAGTGGCCGCCACCCACACGACCCAACCAGGGCCGGGGACAAACTGCAGCCAAGGTACATGCTCTTAGCGGGAACCGAACCCGGGTCTCTGTTGACCGCAGGCTGACGCTCTAACCACTGAGCCAAACCGGCCAGGGCTGTTCAGTTTTTTTTTTAATAGATATTAGTCCTTTACTAAGGACTTTTGATATCCTAAACCCATTTATTTAAAATATTTTTCAGACAAACCCGGCCAGTGTGGCTCAGTGGATTGAGCATCATCCCATGGACTGAGAGGTCCCAGTTTGATTCCCAGCCAGGGCACATGCCTGGATTGTGGACTCGATCCCCAATGTGGGGCATGCAGGAGGCAGCTGACTGATTTATCTCTCTCACATCGATGTTTCTCTCTCCCTCAAAAACATCAGTAAAAACATATTTTAAAAAATAATAAATAAAATAAAATGTTTTCCAGACAGTTTTATATCATTGACTTAATCTGGAATGAATCTGTGTTCCTAAATGAAGAGTTTGTAGACCGTCTTACTTAGTTTGAGGTTTCTTCATGGGTGGTGGCATTTTTTAATTTCAGGTTCAATTTGAGTAAGAGATATTTTTTGTTTTTGTTTTTGTTTTTCTCTTTCTCTTACTTTCTCTCTTCACTAACTCCTCCCCTGTCTATGGTGTTGGTTACTTCCAGCCCAGCCCCATCCAGGACCAGGTCTTATAGTGACTTCGCGCCCTTGCCCACAGTATTGTTGGGGAAATGTGTTTCTGTTCCTAGACTTGAGCCTGTGTCTCCTTCCTTCCTGGACCACAGGCGGCTGCCAGCCCTCGCCGGTGGTGTGCTGCGGTCAGCTCCTACCAGCTCCAAAACCAATGATTACATTTTAAGGAATTTTATGAGCAGGTTGTTAAACAGCCATTATTTAAATTATTCAAATTCACCCTTAAATAAATTATATTAAACAGCAAAGGTAGTAAGGACTCGAAACTTACCATTTTCTAATTGTCTTGCTACGTATCACGGTCACCCGTGCTGACGAGGCTGACAGCGCCTGTATCTGTGTGGCGGAAACACTGTAATGTGCACAGCCAGGCGTCTCTTCCTGCTCTGGGTCAGTGACGCCGTGTTGGTCATTTGAGATCAGCCATGGAGATTAGGAAACATTACAAATCAGGTCTTTATTTATTTTTTTCTGGAATCCTTGTTTAACACACCAGCACGGCATTGCCCTGGGCCCGGGCACGAGGCAGCAGGCAGCGGCCCTTTTCCTCAGTCTCCTTCCGTAAACACCAGCGCTCGTGCCACCTCTGTTTCCGTCGGGGGCCAGGCTTGACTCCTCGTCTCCCAGAACGTGCTCTCCGTCTTGATTATCTTACGCCAAGAGCTTGACTCCCAGAGGCACTGTCACCCCGCTCGTTCCTCTGCCTCCCTGCTTTGTGTCCGATCCAGAGATCTGTTTATTTTGTTTCTGGCCCTTCGCACTATTTATTTTGATGTTACGGTTGCCTCTGTCCTTTGGTTTGCTTTATGTTGTATCCATCATTGCTTTAAGTTTGGAGTGGAGGATTACATTAAATATTGAACATGCTGTGTTACCTTGACCAGAACTCCATATCCATTATTTTTCGTAGACATGTAACTTCAATCATATGGCCGCTCATATTGCCCTCAGAATATTTCCTTCAGCCTTCTTCCTCTCTCCCAGTACTCACCTCACGGTCCTTTCCTATTTGTCTTCCCTCACCCTTCCCTGTACTCACTGTGACAGATGCGATAACATCCTGCACATGCGAGTCCTCCCGGGAAAGATCCCGGAATCACACATCTGCCTTCTCGTGCATTACACCTGCATGATCTTACGCATGCAGTATGATGATGCGTTGTTCAAACAAGAACACTTTGGAGCCTCCACGTGACCTAAATGGAAACCCTTGGCCCCTAATGTTCTTTCTCCTTCCCTGCAGGTATCAAAGCTGTGTTCTCGGGTCACTACCACAGGAATGCCGGAGGCACCTACCAGAACCTTGACATGGTGGTGTCGTCTGCCATCGGATGCCAGCTGGGCAAAGACACCCACGGGCTCCGAGTCGTGGTGGTCACCGCTGAGAAAATTGTTCACCGGTACTACAGTTTAGATGAGTTGAGCGAGAAAGGAATAGAAGACGACCTGATGGATTTAATGAAGGAAAAATGATGGCTGTTTATGATCCATTCACTTTTCACTTCCACTATTTTTTCAATTTTGACAGAAACAGCAGCTGCACCCAACCACTTACTAAATATAAAAGTATACCAGGCAGATTGGTGAATGTATGTACTTTTACATAAATCAGAGAGCTGGGTCCTATCCCAGCTTTAAGAAAGAGAAGGGGTTGAGGGTTGGAGCCTGGGAATAAAAGAATAAATGTGCTGGAATATCTCTGCATGAGTGTTTGAATAAACTCTCCTAATGATGCGTTTTTCATCCGTCTCAAGTTCTCTGTTTGTGAATCAAACTGTTTTCGCATAGCGTACGGTGAATGTGTACACGTGGACCTCAATCCCAGCTGGATATCCAGGTGTGGTCTCTGCTAAGTCCTCGACAGACTGCATCTGATAGTGTTAAACTGGAGCCGTGACCCCAGTGCTCGGCACAGCCAGGTGTCTCTTCCCCTCCTAACGAAACAGTTCTGTCCTCGTACCCGAACCGAGTAGACACTCTCCCACGAGGAGCACAGTGGCCGGCATGTGCTGTTAAATGCCGAGACCTCTATGCTGATGACAGTTGATACGAGTCAGAGCTTGAGTTGGCCTTCTTGGTGACCAGAAACGTCACCTTTGCACATCAATCAGCCACCTATATATAAGAATCTCACCGAAGAGACTAGGGCCAGAGCCCTCAAGTGCCTCCTGCCGTTGCTAGGCAGCCGCTCTTAGCTTGCCCCGCTCCCGGTGAGCGCTGCAGGGACCCTGCAGGTCAGTGTCCTCACGCGGTCAGAGTGACCCTCCACTCGTGACACTTGGCTGTGTCTACTTGGACAGAGAAAGTGGGAATTGATTTAGGGCTTTTCAAAAGAGTCAAAGCAGAACTTTCAGTGGGGCAGACAGCTTTCAGCCACTTGATCGGAATTGGCGGGGACATGCACCAGTCAGCACACAGCCTGTTTCAGTGGGGGTCCTGAGGGCCGAGGGTACTCCCAACTCATCCAGGAGCACCTCACAGCGCCCCGCGGTCACACTGTCACCTTAAAACACCTTTCACAACCGACTGCTTACAAATGAACTGCAACATCCATTCAAAAAATCTCTCCTTCAAAAGTTTGTCAGTCTAGCAACACCACGAGAAATTAAATAGAAAGATAATTGGATATGTAAATTTACAAGGAACAGAAGACAAGAAGTTAATTATGCTACCGACCCGCGACACGCCGTAGCTCATGGTCGTGAGGCACAGGAAAATTCCACAGCTTCCAAGTCAGATGCTCCTGTGTTAGGGTTCTGTGTTCTTGCTTTGTATCCGTTTCTTTTTGCAGGTGTGGCTGAGCGTGCAGCAGGAAGAGGTTTAGTAAGTGGCATAACTAATAAGCCATGCGTGTGAGGCATGGGCGGTGGTGACGCTTTGAGGATGAGCTGCCACGCTTGTGTCCCAGGATCATGAAGGCAGGCGTGGGCTCCGGGAAAGGGGACGGGTGTCAGCACAGTGGGCTGGCGGGGCTGCCTTTGTGGTGTCCCGTGTGCAGGACGCCCTGGACTGGGGCACTGCAGTTTTGGGGAAGGATACAGAGATAATTACAAGCAATGGAAATTAAATTTTCTAAGCCTCCTTCCCAGAAACCTAATAATTAAGAGTTGATTCAAAACACAGCAAGAATATGCTAAGGATAGGGAATCATATGAAATTCTCGCCATTTTCAAAGTTGCCAAACAGCAATATTTGCAGTGGTGAGGATTTAGGAAGTGATTTTGTAAACGAGTGTGTATCGTCCTGAGTGATAAACACCAATGTTTTCGCTTGTGATTCCTTTTTCTCTCTAAATCAAATACCAAACAAGTCCCTTATACTGTGGAAAACAAGAAAACAGTCAGTGATCATAAGTGCTATGGTTTTTGAGTGTTTACTTAGTGCTAGATGCTGTTTTAAGTGCTTTGGTTCAGAGAGGTGGTTCCCCTTGGCCAAGGTCATACAGCTCTTCCGTGGGGAAGGGTCGGGATGCAAGCCGTCCGACTGTTAAGCCCATGCTCCTTAACGCTGTCCTCTCTTTCCTGGAAAATGCTTTTAATGGGTGAGAGTTTGAACCAGCTCAGCCCATGGCAACGCTACAGTGTTCGGCACCTTTGGCCGTCCTTCCTGGGCGAGAACCCAGTGTTAGCTGGAGGCCCTCGGACTCCATCCCTTCTCTGAATTGTACCAGGTCCACGGTGGCAAAGCCTGTCCCAGGAGCAGACTGTTCAGACGGAGACCTGTTGCCCGAGGAGAGTGGAGAAATTAACTACAAGGGCCACAGGCCACAGCTCTGCCCACATGAGGAATGCTCACCAGATGACGCTTCACTCCTGTGTCTAGTTCCCACCAGGGGAAGGAACGTGACGTTCTCTCAGGGCAAGGAGCACCACCTAATGCTCTCCCTTCAGTGAATCATCTCATATGGGGGACAATAGGGCTGCCAAAGGGGGAGGTTATTTAAATGGCTGAAAAGTGGATTGTCAAGACTCAAACGAGCAAGTTTGCAGACCAGGTGGGGAGAGGGTCATCTGACTGCACTCGCTTTTTACAGTAAATACGTTTATCTCCAGTCTTCAGGTATGCTTCTCCTGAGGTTGGAGAGGGGTCAGGGGGTGGACCTGGCAAACTTGATGGAACTAGCAAACAGACAGAACATGTCTTAATATTTTGTGCTTTTCAGCATTCCAAGATTGTCAGCCCCTGATAGAGTTATAAGGCAAACGCCACCGTTTATCTTACGTAGCGTCCAGAGATACCAAGTTCTGTATATCTGTAGAAACTGTATAGACAGAATACAGTTTAACATTATAGTCTGTAGTCTACCGTGAAATCTTTTGAGAAAAGGTAGCAAAAATATCATTTGCATTTACTCGAACTCTTAAAACTTACTCCCCAAGTTGCCTAAAACAGCTCTTTGTGCAGTCATGAAACTGGGTGGCTGGGGCGGGGGGTGGGTTTGGAAATTGAAGGTCAAGGCAAGTTCTCGTGAAAGCTCTGTGTAGTAGACACCAGGGATTTCGTGTTCTGATCACCTTCGCAGGTTCAGCTGCACATGCAAAAGGTCGTGCATGACAGGTAAAATTAATTTTTCTTATAACTTCGAAAAATACTGTCATGTCATTGGAGAGCTCATCTATATGATTCTTTTCTACAAATAATTACTACTCGCGTCTTTCTAGAAAAGATTGTACTGACTAAATCCTCTTCCAAGTGATTTTTATTTCCTTTTTATTTTTTAAACATTAGTGACTATACAAACACAAATGTACAGATTGATTTTTTTTCCTTTGGGTTTTATCTGTGTAAATAACGTTGATTGAATATGAATAATTATCAGATACCTTTCATTGTTCATTATTCTAATCTGATACGTGTCTTTAAAAAGCCATTTTCGTCATTCAAGTAACTCTGCACCTCACCTAGAATCAAGTCCAAACTCCTTCCGGAGACGTTCAGGCGCGGCTCGCTCTGCCCCTGCCTGCCTCAGCGTGTCGTGCAGCCTGACCTTCCGACCTTCACTGCCCTTGCCCTGGGTGCTTCCTCTGCGGAGATGAGCTTCTTGTCATGGCTCTGCTCTTAGCGCGGGGACCACTGCCGGCGTGGCCATCCGCCGCCCTGTATCGCGGGCACTCCTTGCCCATCGCCCTCGCCCGCCAGGAAGGACCGGGCTGCTTCGTGCTCTCGGGGTGTATCCCCCGCCAGCACGGGGCTCCAGGTGGCAAGGACCTTTTCTGTCCCATCCCTCTTCCCTGGCACTGTGCCTGGGGCACCGGGTGGCCGCTCAGTGAACACCTGGCAATGACTGCGGCCTCGGCGGAGCGAGTCAGGGTACAGAGCAATACTACCCATCGATGTCAGCCCTTAGTGCCGGAGGAGGGAAGGCAGGGAGGCGTGTTCCTAAGTCTCGTGGTCGTTCTTTTGGGATTGTCCTCAAAGTTAGGTATTGTCAACAGGCCAATAAAAAACTAACAACGTGTCCCGCTAGTGTGGCTCAGTGGTTGAGCATCGACCCATGCACCAGGAGGTCGCCAGTTCGATTCCCGGTCAGGGCACATGCCGAGGTTGTGGGCCTGATCCCAGTGTGGGGCATGCAGGAGGCAGCCAGTCGATGTTCTCTCTCATGGATATTTCTATCTCTCTCTCCCTCTCACTTCCTCTCTCTAAAATCAATAAAGAAAAAATAAATAAATGAATAAAACTAACAACGTGCCGTGGCCAGTTTGGCTCAGCGGTTAGAGCGTCGGCCTGCAGTCTAGAGACTCCTGGGTTTGGTTCCCGCTAAGGGCACGTACCTCGGTTGCAGTTTGTCCCCGGCCCTGGTTGGTCGTGCGGGTGGCAGCCATTCAATGTGTTCCTTTCACCTCAATGTTTCTCTCTCTCTCTCCCTCCCACTCTATCTGAACAAAAAATGGAAAAATGTCCTCGGGTGAGGATAAAAAAAAACAAAACAACTAACAACATCACTGTTATCTTTGGTTCTCCACTCACAGTGAAGAAATCAGGGGTGACGTGAGAAGTGTCCTTGCGGTACTAACCCTAAACCAGCTCCCTGAATGAACACTGTACCCGCAGCCAAAGCAGGGGAGCCCGCCAAAGGGGCTGACTAGGCCAAAGGGAGTAGGGAATACATAAAACAGGTGGCTGGAAAACCAAGTCTCAGACTCAGAAGAAAGGATAAAATGTATCTTGAAGTGCTGCCTGAAGAGGTTATGGAAATGAATGAGATGCCTGAGAAAATGTAGTAGCACCAGAAGAGACCTAAGGACAATCCTAATCCCAACCCCACTAGGGATCCAGCCCAAAACCTGGGCATGTGCCCTGCCCAGGAATCGAACCAGCCACCTTTCTGTGCATGGGACGACACCCAGCCGGCTGAGCCACACCAGCCAGGGCAGAGGTCCTGCAGTCACACCCAGGTTTCAGTCCCTGCGGCCAGCTGTTCCCTCAGCCGTGGGTTCTCTGGCTCCATCTCCCGGCCTCTGCCCCTCAGGCCTCATCGGTGAAGGGCACCTACTGGGCCAGGTGGGGCGCTCCAGCTGACGGCAGCACTGTCAGCTCAGAAGGCCTCACAAGCAAGGAGCTTTCTTTCCACCACGGTCAGTCCTGAGTCCTGCAGTCCGTGTCTCCAGGGTGTCCCAGCAGCTCGACATGGTGACGCCCCGCAGCTCCAAGCATCCCGTCCTCAGGAAACCGTGTTCACAGACAGGAAGAAAAGGCTGGTGGGGTGGGTCTCACCTCCGGAGCTGCTTTTTCTGAGAGAT